GCAAAAAAAACGGCGCTGGCACCAGTGGCCAAGATGTTTTCGGACAAGTTGATGATAGTTTCAGTTAGAACAAAAAAAACTAGAAGTCCCATAAAAGATATTATTCATTACGGGAACCAGTGACCACTAACAAGACGGGAGTCCTTGACACCACCACGCTTCCTTATTCATGCTCTTCTTTTGGACCATCTAAAAAAGATGGGCCCATTTATGAGAAGCATTGTTCTGTCCGAGCCCATCTATAAGAAGCGATCATTTGTCAAGGTGACCACGCCGACCACGGCACATTCTGCCATAAGGAAAATTTCTTGCAACGTATGGCGCTTCTCAAAATGTGCTCCTCTGGTACGACCACCCCCCCCTCACCTCTGTCCCCTAAATTCTTGCATTTTCCTATCACTTTTCGAAGTTTTTTCCCCGGAAATACTCCAGTGCCCCTGCCCGTCGCAAGAAAAACACCGTCGAGTGTGGGTAGGTGGAATTTGCTCACATGAAATGGAAAAAAAGTCATCAACCGAAAATATTTTTCTTGAGGGTACTAGCTTTGGCCTCCCTCTAACCAGCGACCAAATTCGACTCCCCTCGCTGGGATTCATCTCAGAACTGTCAGTCTTTCATGACTGGGATGCTACCCAATGAGATATCTCAGATTTTCGTCAACCTACCGCATGATCTCGCTGAGAAGCCATTCTTCAAAGCCCTTCTCCGAGTCTTCGAGATTTTTCCATGCATTGTTAATGTCCTGAAATCGAGAAACGAAGTTTAGTATAAGGAGATGGCACGCAATTTCACTTACCTTAACAAGATGTCCGTCTCGAGGAAGGAATGCCGGTCGATTTGACAACCGCAGACGAGTTTGGAGTGTATTGAACAGCGTCTCTAGACGACCCTTGTCTTCGATTCGTGGCGGTTTCTCATGCCTACAGTATTCTATTTATAGCCAGGTGAATGGTCAGTGCTACTGGTAAGCTCTAACAGTTCGTACCGTCTATAATTGCGATAGTCGTCGAGCTTCTTCTGTGCCTTCGACAAATTGTCGTCGGTGGTTCGATTAGCCAACCACGGCATCCAGTGGTTTATCCAAGCGAGCAACTAAGACAACCCAAGGTCAATACCTGTTAAGTTTTAGCTGACAAAACAACTTTGAACTAGCTACTGACATCGCTGGCGAGATGTTCGTACTCCTGCATCATTTTCTCATTCTCCTGGTTGACTTTAAGCACCCGACAGATTCTGTTCGCTGCCGTTTCCGCCTAAATTGGTTTACGAGCTCATGACACCCAATATATTCAAGTCCACTGAACACAGGATCCCTGGGATACTCAAGTAGGAGACATGCACAGGCGTGAGCACACTTGGTCTACCACCCTGTTGTTTCTAGCACGACAGCCTCTACCTAAGGGTCATTGCCTACTTTCACCTCCACCTTGCTGGCCGAAACACACCAAAGCACGGCTTAACTATGAATCAGAAAGATGGGAATCTACTCCTTTCCCAAAATGCGCCTCCCTTTCACAATGATAGACACGCCTCAGCAAGCCAGACACCCCTTTCTCTCTTCCGAAAAACCTCGTCTGCAACCCACTGGGGGAGCGTTCGCACTTCGCGATGACGCGCTACGTCGCGCCACGACGCGCTACCAGTGCAACAGCGCTCCAGTGCTATAGACGATAACGCAGCAAAACTGGTATCGACTGGCGCCGGCCACTAGTATTCTGAGAGAATACAGAAGAATGGGAGGGTGCTAGACTGCGGGATTAGGCAGCGCGTACCCTCCTGTTCCCTTATTCTCTCTCGAAACGCTAGCAGCACGCGCAGATCGATACTTGTCTAGATGCGTTCCTGTCCATAGCACTAGGAGCACTTTTGCAGTGGTAGAACGTCGTCACGCGTTGACGCGCGCCATCACGAATTACGAACAATGCCTACGTGACACTAAACCTTCATTTCCCACTTTATATCGCTTCAAGTCCGACGCAGTCAGTCAGACTGGTAGAAACGACAAACACTGTTGTGGCTTATGATAGTGCTATATTTCCGTGAGGTAGTATGAGCTGCCTACCAGAAGGAGCCGAGCTTTCAAGAAATGCAGACTCACCTAGTGTTCTCCACTTGGTGATCTAAAGGGATTGCTCGGCCGAATAAAAGAATTGCTTCGCGGAAGCCCTTTCTTTATACTTGTCCAGACTTCTCCGGTAACCCTTCACTTGAGGGCTTTCACTACACTCTTTTTACTAGAGAGCGGTCCCAACGGATACTCTTCCCGTCACAGAAACCATGAGTACCGTATAAGGATCCTGTGTTCAATAACGTTGGAAGATAATCTAAAGCCACACCTCACGATCGTCGCATGGGTGAAACTTGGCCTACCTTTGTGTGTTCCTCAATGATGCACATCTCCACTTTACCGTCTCAGACAAGAGCGATGCACCAATAAGGAAAACACAATGGTAGGGCCAGCTCCGCCCAAACGAGAGACGCGAAATGTGTCATAAGCGTGAGCTGTTTGGCCATTTCACACCATTCAACGACAGAAACACTTCACTTTCATTAGAAAGCTCGAGTTAAGAACACCTGACACGATAAACTGAAAAATAACAAAAACATTCCGCGTTGCCACGGACCTTACGCATTCCGCTGAAATAGTGGTAGTAGCAGGAGACATACGTCATGACAGCTTTCTCGTCCGGATGTGAGTTCACCATGTCTGAAAGCATCACCTCAAACAACACAGACGCTTGCAGAACTCCACTGAAACTCTATCGCCGCTGGAAGTGGAAACAGAACGGATCTTTTCGAAACAAAAATTGATCAGTTAAGGACGAGTTAGTGTGTCACTCGTTTTAGATTAGTGATCACTCAAATCGAACATAGGTGGACCACGTCCTCAGCACTCAAATCACGTCACAGCATTGGCCACCACGAGCTGCTTACTTCTTTACGCCAGTCGCGTTCCGGTGGTGGCGCCCGCTGTGGCGGCGGTATCGAACGGACTTCCGGTGCATTACGGAACGCATGGTAAAAGCATGACACGTACGTCATGATCGACTTCTCGTCCGGATTGTGGGCGGCGTCTGATAAGTAGGCGATTTCAAATCTATCCTAGTTTCAAGACAAGTGCATCTACGAACAACTTTTCGTTCAGTGCAACCTACAGCTCTTTGGAAGAACACTTATTAAAAGCATACTGTATTCAGTTTACCAATCTGTTTATAAAACTACATCATATCCACTATGGAGAATCGAGATGAGAAATCCCACCCGTCCATTTGTTAGCGAATGGTCGCTACGAGCAGTCTTTCTGAACAAACCACCGAAAAGAGGACGCGGAACGTGTAAATGGCCTGTCGATTTCCGAACAGATTCAGTTTTTTATATGCCGCTGTGAGTAATTTTGTTATAAAGGGGAATAGGCTTACTCTAAGAGCATTCAGCGCAAACACTGTGCTCTAAATGCTTACTTTTTTGTGTTGCGTCGTTTCAGCTTTTCCTCTAGGAGACTGTTGATTAAAGAAAAGGTTGACACAGTTGACGCTACGGTGAACACCGAGTTACTTGGTCAAAAAATCTTAGCTGTTATGGGGAAAATTTTCGAGACAAGTCCAAACTCTGTGCTTTTCGAAAGCTCACCCTTAGAAGAACTGCTATTCGTCGCAGTAGTTCGCGATCCAAAGATTACCTACAGAATTTCCTTTATATTCCGCTTATCGATAGAAGTTAGAAAACTTGGCCAAGGGAATATGAAACTTAGGGCCTTTAAGGCTCGAGCCGAGTAGCGAAGAGGTCAGACGTTCCTGCCAGAGGGTTTAAGCTGCCAATCTCATAGCGAACCGAGAGATAATAGGATCACAGCGACTCAATTACATACATGAAAGTCCTTACCTCTGCATCCAACATTCGTCCCGTGAATGTCAAGAGTTTTTCAGCCAGCATCGAAGGCCAAGTGTGTATGATGTAAGTTGATCGCCCTTGTGAAGTTGATAATAATCGCGACTCAAAGTTCTGGTCTAAACCAAAAAAATTTATGTGAAGCGAACACCATTTTGGAAAAAAAGAACTTGTTTCGCGAAAATGCCTAGCATTAGAAGCTGAAATCTTCAGAATCAAAGCTCCAGTGAGTTCATGTAAGGGCATGGCATTAATTAGGCTGAGTAGAAACAGAAGCTAACGGTAACGATTTTCGGCGAAATCCCTATCAACTTCCTTTCCCCCTCATTCAACCTTGAATATAGGAATCCGGGTCTCACTAATCCCGAACAGGAGTTTTTAGAGAGAGACAGAGAGGGTTACACTCCATTTAGAGGTGGTACAGGAAGCAACCGGAATACGTGGTGAGGCGGAGATACAGTTTCGCCATAGACCTCAGAACACACAGCTCCGGGCATGAATGACGACCCTGTGAAAAAAAATTAGAATCTGCAGAGTACCGCCAGCTTCATAAAATTTGGAGAAGCACTAATACTATAAACTTTTCGAGGCGAGGTGCGCTCAGCTTGTTTCTCAATGTGTACAACCAAGTAAATAAGCAGGAAAACAATCCTCGAGTACTACTCAAGTTTGTATTTGAACCCATTGTAAACATGAAATGAGATGTTCCCCACCTATGCCTGGTGAATAAGAGCAGTCGCCAGAAAGCCAAGAGCGCTTCCTGTAACCAGATGGTGTGGAAGCTTCTGCACATTCACCCGTTATTGTAGTGGTTGCCTGTCTTACGTGACACCGTAGAGAGAAGTCGTTCCGCGTTGCAGATAAGTTCTGAAATCGAGCGCGTTAGCAATTAGGCGCAATTATCGTCAACAGGGAGGCAAATTAGGGAAGCAGAGTAGCGAACCTTCAAACGGTTATAGTCCTGGCATGGGAAGCGAAGAATGAATGGTCCAGATCAGGCCCAACGTCAACTTTCACAGCGTTCCCTATGCGCGCACTCGAGTCCCGTGGCAAAAAAGAATTCTGGCTAAGCAGTCCCCAAGTAAGTAAATAAGCAGATACACTAGTTCCGGTTCCTTATTTATGAAGCGCTTTAATTTAACCAGACATCTTCAGATGTCTGTCAGTGAGCCTTCCAGCCCGTCACAGTCAGATGGAACGAGTAAAAAAATGTCTGACCATGAGAGTGGGACACTAAGTTCGCTGCGAGAGTGCGAGCAAGATTTAGGGTGTAGTGAGGAACAGTAAATTGAAATGAAGGTCATTCGAGATCACTGTGAAATTTTCCTATGCAAAAGAGGTACCGGAATCTCGAGAGATCCTCCGGAGCAGCGAGGTGACAAGCAGCATACTTGCCACTGGATCCCTCTGACAGCAGTAATGGTAGCGTTCGAGTCGCGAAGGACTGTACACGCGCTGTAGCGGCGCATCACAGTCCCAAGCTGCCTGGATACCGTTTTTAAATCTCGGTCCATTTTCACACCGTTGTAAGGAAGTTACTTGGCTCAAACAGTCTTGAGGCAGCGTCAGGACTCTTCTGGGAGGTCCGCAGCAGATATGGAAGACGGTTTCGTAATTCCCGTCCGAAGACCTTCCAGCCGGTATACATTTCATTTCAAATGGCCACTTCGACCTACCATCCTTCCCTTGTAAGTTATGTGCCTATTTGAGCCTTGTAAACGGCAAATAAGTTCGTCTTCTCTCGCAAATAAAGGCACCGTTCAGACTTCGCGACGGCAGCGCTTCGGTCGCGCGTTGGACGCGATCGATGCGCATGCTTTCGACTGCATCGATCGCGTCGAACGCGCGACCGATGCGCTGCCCGGGTCGGCAAGTCCTGAACGCTCTAATTTGCAGAGAACGTACTCTAAATTGCGTACAGTCTCCAATAGGCACATAACATTTTTTTGTTTTTCGTTTTTTTTTAAATTTTTTTTTTTTTAACAAGGGAAGGATGGTAGGTCGAAGTGGCCATTTGAAATGAAATGTATACCGGCTGAAAGGTCTTCGGACGGGAATTACGAAACCGTGTTCCATATCTGCTGCGGACCTCCCAGAAAGAAGTTACGAAGCTTTTTTTTGGGGAGAATCACTACAAATTGGCGGCGTAAGGCTGTCGAGATCGTGGCAGAATGGCCGAGTGGGTACGTCATAAGGGCTCACACGATGCGTGCTCGAAGGTGAAATCCTTGATGCGTGTACACTTCTTTTGGCATTTTGTCGAAAAAGTGCGCCCCTTGCACTCAAAAGCCATTTTTGCATAGGGCACTTGTCCATGATAACGTCGTGATGTAATGATTCTGAACTGATGGAGCCATTGCGAACCATTCAATAGAAATCACTTCTGGCTGTTGTCTTCCTCTTTCTTTCTGATTTGAAGAGCATATACAACAAAAGTGCACTCCAAAGAAAGATTTTGCCTTCAAATGAATTATTTATCTCTCCAAAAGCGATATGACCCCAACGGGAAAACAATGCCGAAGTGTGCACGAAGATGATTATAGTGGGAAATGCTTCCATTAAAGGTGGCAGTTGATCATCGGATCGATCGCGATGGGCAAGAGCTTCATTCACCAGTGGCATAATGTTGAATTATGTCTATCTCAAAAAGTTTTCGTATCTGCTGGGAGTTTTCGCCTCGTATGACAAAATCTCTTCAGCCGGAGGTGATCTCCATGAAATCGTTCGCAATGGCTCCATCAGTTCAGAATCATTACATCACGACATTATCATGGACAAGTGTTATGCAAAATAGCTTTTGAAGCCGAAGCACAGGGACCCGACTTTTTCGATAAAAAGTCAAAAGCAGCACACGCAAAAAGATCGCAAACCCTTCGGACGACGTCTGCGTGAGACCTGACACGTAATCGCAGACTCGGAACCATGCTTGCCACACATCCCGTAGCCCATACGGCTCGCCAATTTGTAGGTGATCTCCCAAAAAAAGCTTCGTACTTCTCTTCGGGAGGTCGCGGCAGCCAGATATTGGAACAACGGCTTTCGCTACTCCCGTCCGAAGACCGTTTCAGCCGTATAGCATTCATTGCTTCAAATGGCCACTTCGACCTAGCCATCCTTGCCCTTGTAGAAGTGAGATCAATCCCAGTAAAAACTCCTCAAGGGGAGTGAATCTGGCACGTTCCCTATAAAACAGTGAAGCACAAACCTTCTGCTCCAATAGACACCAATTTGACGCCTTTGCTCTCAATATACTCTAGTGCTTTATTGACGTTGGCGATTTTGTGAAAACGCATCTTTCCGCGATCAGGACGAGGGAGCGGCTCGCCAGAGATCACTTCCAGCAAGAGCATGAGTTTGAGGCCTTAAAAAGTGTTGTAGTAGCGTTATACAAACCTTCTCCAGAGAAAAAAAATGGGAATCATGAGTTTTACTGACAACCTCGGAAATCTTATGAAAGTCCATTCCATTCGGAACAAGACCTGTCCCTTCTTGTGGAGTACCATCCTTGTCACTTTGTGGTTATTTCTTTGACATCTAATTAGAACCCATACTACATGGCTCCCGTACCGCGTTTTATGCCCTGTTCTGAGAAGCGCTAACGATGAAACTAGTGTAAAAGAAGCGCATAGGAAATACTCGCTTCATAACAGTGCTCTTCTCTTAATGTAGCATGCATATAGCCTATAACCAGGAGGTGATACCTCCACTGCATGAAGTTTTGATTACAAAACTATTTTCAGTCAGATAAAACGATGTATTTTCTTTGGCGCTGAAAGAAGGCTTGATGAGCCTTGAGAGATTCGGAACTCACCATTTCTGAAGTCTTCCTCGATAAGTTCGATGCTAGTACCAGCTTTCCTCAGATGCGAGTTGCACCAGGCGGTGAATGTCTGCAACGATTGTCAATAGGAATGTTGGCATTGGGGCAATAACTAATCAAAAAAATCTATTATATCGAGCATAAGGTCCCGTTGATGCTGGGGCGTGTCAGGAAGGTTGCTTAGGAAGTGGCGCCAGCCCGTTCTCCACTAACTGGGAGCTAGAAATAGACTGGTGGAGAACGAACTGGCGCCGCGCCATACCTAGCTTCCCTGATACGCCCCAGCATCCGCGGCGAAAAAAACTGTAACTTGCAATTTCAGAACGTCATTAGCACTGATTTTTCGTTGTAACACCTCAGGGACACATGGAGGGACCGATGTGATCACTTCGGAAAGTGATTACTCTACAAAATCAAGGGAACTTCACAGGAACTATACGTGGCCCACGCCTACAATGAACTGAAGGTGAGTGAAGAAGCAGGGAAGCTAGGTAGCAAGGGAAGAGGGGGTTGTATTCTTTCAGGAAACAATAACAACGCGATGGCGACTTTTATTTTCCCCGACTTCCTACCTACCACCTTTTCCATTTTTTCCCGAAAAATTTTCCCAGTTTTTCAGCCAAGAATTTTTCTTCGAGCGGGGGGGGGGGATACACCCACTGTGAAACAGGAAAATTTCTCAGATTTTCCCTAACCTCCTACCTGGGTTTAGCTATCATTTTCAACTATCGGAAATAGTAGTTGTATAGATCTTTGGCAGTCCCTCTCTCAACAACGGCCAAATACGACCCCCTTTATAGCCGTCCGTGAAACAAGAGAAATCAACTACCAAAAAAATTTTTCTCAGACCAAATACGACCCCCCCCCTCTCCTCGCGGTCAAATACGACCCCTCCCTTGTGATCATCACAACGAGGGCGTGCCCTGGGCACCACTCCATAGGGTCTAAAACGACCGAATCGGTATAGAGCTGAGATCGCCGCAATAAGTCGGGACGGTGCATGGGATGAGCCCTTTCGCGGCGTTTTACCACTGATTGTTTTCTTACAATAGCGATCTGCAACCGATCACCAGTGGTAGAAAAGAGAGCCGGAAGCGGGCTCATTCTGCCCTCCTGACACCCCCCCCCCTACCTGAACTGATTGCGGTAATATCAACTACACCTTGAAAGTTGTTCAGCATACTCCTTAAACTGCTATTAGCAAAAAAAGCATCAGTAAGCAAACATACGCCTTGGAAAAACCATCCCTTAGTTGAGTCCACAATTCTGCTCTCTGGAGCGGAATGTGCAGTCAGCACCTTGAAAATTTGCAATCTCCATACCTTTTTCTGCTGCTTTTCCCATGCGGGATCGAGCAGACCTTCCCGATCCCATTCCTCCTCTTGCTGTGTGTAATCGTATCCGGACGTCTGATGTGGGTGGAACGCCGGTTGAGCAGCGTAGTAGTCCACCATAACCCTGGCGCCTACAATGAAGATTCATTGGAAGGAATCGACGTCTCTTTTGGATAACAGTCCGAGTAAAACGCAACACAAAAAGGACAATCAAGTACCGACGAGACTAGGAAAGGAGAAGAAATTAAGAAAAACGATCAGAACGCCCCCACATGAGCCCAACCGAAAAAGAACTAAAGCACCTATGATTGTTCGACATCAAACGTTTACACAATGGTAATCAGCGAACGAATCGTTAAACAACTGCATTACGTGACAGCTTTAATTCACATGCCATTTTCTAATTCACGCGAGGCATGGAGGAGGTCAGTAGGCACAGCGGTGGGCTCACCTTATTGCGATGCTCGAAGATTACTCTTTAGCTGCCGCTCTCTTGAGAGGAAAGTTATGCTGTTAGG